AATATCGTTGCCGCCACTCCGGCTCCTAGAGGCCTAGATCCTCCTATCACCCTCCCCCCATTACCCATTTCGTCTCATATAGTATTTGCCTAAATTATATATTTTTCAAAAATATTTTCTGCTACCTAACCAGAAACCGAAAAATAAGTAAGAAAATTACTTATTTTCCAATAAAACATTTTTCTAAGGAAAGCATTTTCCCTCTATACCAAACACACCCTAACTCTTCACTCCCTTTTCTGTCATGAAGAGTCCAATTTTGACCATATCTGAATTAACTGAAAGTTTTCCTCATAAACCTACTTTATGACTTGCTACTAGCAATAGAATCTTGGAAGTTCAAATTCCAAAGAAACTTTAATTATTAAAAGTTAATGTCAGCAAATGTAGCTAAACCACATGGAATGCAACCATCAGCCATTTTCATCACTTTTAGCAGCCATATTCTCTTGCTTCCTTTTTCCCCTAAAATGTCATGCAGATTCCGTGGAGTTTCAGTTAGAAGTAGAACTCCTTATTTCTGTTTTCCAACTAACTTAATTTCTCTCAACTTCCTTAGCTCATTCACTTTCCCCTTCTTCTCGATAGATTCACATGCATTTCCTCTTTAAAACATTCCAAACTGTGGGCCTGAAAGCTTTTACATGTGGGTTTATACAAGTTTTCTATCTATGTAATATTTGATATTTTGATTAAACGCAGAGTTTAACAAAGAAAAAAAGATTTTTGGAATATATAGTCCAATACTATAAGTTAGGACATTTCTTTGACTGTAAAATTACAATATTATACTAAGGATAAAAGAGAAGTTTAAAGTTAAATTATTTTTAACATAAAATATGTCACTTTTATCAAAACTGACAAAAAGGAATATAAGTTTTTTTGTGAGATCTTCAAGTTCCTATAAACTTATACTAATATCTAAAACAATCCACATGGATAAGCATATGAAGGACGTCAATCACATTTTAGCACCTTTTTCTTTTTCTTGTTCCAATTACTTCATTCTTGTTTAATTTCCTTCAACTGAAGATTCAGCTTTTACCTTTGCTTCCTGTGTCTACTTTGATTAAACTTTTAAAATAAAGTTTTCATATTTTCCAAATTTAGTAAAACGTCTTATCAGCTTCACCCCGAAAATCTTCCTAATATTCTTGCCAGTTATATAAATTTATCTTCTATTTTTGGTAAGTTCCTTCGACTCCGTGAAACTATAAATAGCCCTAATAACATCTCTATAGCAACTCACCTCTTTCTTTTCTATCAAACAAACCATCAACACCGTTATATCAAATGGCTTATTTTACTAGGATGACAAGCTCTTTCTTTGCCTTATTATTCTTCCTAGTTCTTGCTTGTGAAGCTAGAGTTCCAGGAAAAACTAGTGGAGGATTTGTTAGAACAAATGGTGCACATTTTGTACTAAATAGATCACCTTTTCTATTCAATGGTTTCAACTCCTATTGGCTTATGCATGTAGCATCTGATCCTAGTGAAAGGTACAAAGTTTCTGAGGTATTTCAAGAAGCCTCTGCTGCTCGCCTTTCTGTTTGTCGAACTTGGGCTTTCAGTGATGGAGGAGATACAGCATTACAAATATCACCTGGTGTTTATGATGAACGTGTTTTTCAGGTAAATATTTTAGGATTTAACTTATATAAATTGAAAGAAGATAAAAAAATATACTATAAGTTATTTTAACATGTTGTAGCATAACCACTCCAAGTTAGAATCCCACTTGTCATGGACTATTAATGTATACCGGCAATTCTCTTTCAAGTGACCTGATAGTAAGATTTTGACTAAATTAAACTCATTATTTTAATAGGATAAGTTTCTTCTTTTTATTTTATGTATAGTTTTACACATAAATGGAGATACTTTAATGAAATTCAGGGATTGGATTTTGTGATCACTGAAGCAAGGAAATATGGGATTCGCTTAATATTGAGCTTCGTCAACAACTATAATGATTTTGGAGGGAGAGCTCAATATGCTCAATGGGCACGAAATGCAGGAGTCCGGATTAACAGTGAAGATGATTTCTACACTCATCCGGTGCTCAAAGATTATTACAAGAATCATGTTAGGGTATGACAATATATTTTTTTTAATTATTTTTGGCTGTTTGTCTCTCAATTGGAGCCAAGTAATTACTAATAATTCTGTGATTTTGTTGCGCAGAAAGTTGTAACAAGGTTGAATACTATCACTGGAATGGCTTATAGGGATGATTCAACTATAATGGCATGGGAACTTATGAATGAGCCTCGTTGTAAAGCTGATTATTCTGGGAAAATAGTAAATGTGAGTAAAAACATAGGGAAGAAATACTTTGTTATTTCCAAATATGACGTCTTTTGGCTTCTAATATTGTGCAAATTTTACAGGCATGGATTCAAGAAATGGCAACTTTTGTGAAATCAATAGACAGGAAGCATTTACTGGAGATAGGAATGGAGGGATTTTACGGTGATTCAATGCCTGAAAAGAAGCAATTTAATCCCGGTTACCAAGTTGGAACAGACTTCATTAGTAGCCATCTCATCAAAGAGATTGATTTTGCCACTATTCATGCATATACTGACCAATGGTAATTAAGCAATTCTGCTAGACCTCAAATTTCGACAAAGAAATATATATATATATATATATATATATATATATATATATATATATATACACTTTCAAAATAGCATATATGCAGTTACAAGCATGCATAAGCATTTTTACAATTTTTCTATAATTTTTAAAAACTCCAAATTGATTTATTTCTTCCCTTTTTATTTTTAAAATTTCCAATAATTATCCTTAAAATTATTTTTGNTTTTTAGCTAGAATATGTGATCTTAAACAAGCTGTGACATTTCTATGGCTCTAAAATTATGATACTAAGGGTAAAATATGAAGTTTAATGTTAAATTATTTTTTAAAATATATAAATCTGATTTTTCATATAAAAAAGACGAAAAAGGAAAGTGTAATATAAGATGGAATAAATGAAATAATTTTTATACACTGACAGAGTGAAAGATTCCATACACTATTAGGTTACTTAAAAGATGACTTAATATAAATTTTCACAAAAAGTAAAATTAGTAACCTAGAAAATAAGGCATGTCAGGTAGAACACAATAGTTAAAATGCTCTAGTTGTATAAAAAAAGTTATATTATCAGTGTGTATAATTTAAATCCTTTGAAATATGATACAAGGTTTGTTGTCGCAGGTTGTCGGGACAAAATGATAATGCTCAAATGGCATTCATGCAAAGGTGGATAACAAGTCATTGGCAAGATTCAAGCACAATACTAAAGAAGCCATTAGTCCTTGCTGAATTTGGAAAGTCAAGCAAAGATCCAGGATTCAATCTAAATGCAAGAGATACATACATGAGTAGTGTATACAGAAACATTTATAATTATGCAAAATCAGGTGGAACTATGGGAGGGAGCTTAGTATGGCAACTAGTGGCACAAGGGATGGAGAATATTGATGATGGATACTCAATTATCTTAGCACAAAATCCATCAACTGCTGGAATTATCTCTGGCCAATCACATGCCATGACAACATTAGCTCATTTGGTTAATAACTGATAGAAGTCTAAAACATAGCCATCAATCATCATCCATTTTGGTAGAAGACAGGGAAGAAAAGCATGTCTAGTTGCTTATATTAGATCAAATTATTCTTTGAACTTAATGATGCAAGAAAAAGAAGAATTATATAAGCTTATAATGCCCAATTTATTTTTGGTTACAATTGGAGAGTGTAATGCACATTTTCAGAAAAGAGAGGTTGATTAATTTCTTGAATGTATTTTGTTCACATCATCTGGATGAAATGAAAAGTAGTGAAGTCATAATCAATAGTTTGATAATAAGATATGCATGTGGCTCAACTAAAATTTACAGCTTAAGAGAAAGACCAGTCAACAACAACAACAACTATCCAGTAAAATCTCACAAAGTGGGGTCTGGGGAAGGTAATGTGTACGCAGACCTTATCCCTACCCTGATAGGGCAGAGAGGCTGTTTCCGATAAACCCTCGGCTCAGAAAAAAGAAAAAGAGAAGGAGACAATTCATTAGTAACTCCAGTAGAAACC